GGGTTAATTGGCTATATAAGACCGAAATTTTGAGAATATCATTAAATATAAAATTATTAAAAACACACTCTTTCTTTTTTTTACTTAATTTTATACCTTCTCTTTCATCCTTTTACTCAACTTTTATTAATTTTATACTCTCTTTAAATATAAAATTATTAAAAACACTCTTTTTCTCTTCAAAAATATCAACTATTTAATACTTTTGATATTCTCTTTCTCCAAAAATACCCATTATCTCTTCTCTTTACTCAAATTTATTAATTTTATATTTCAATACACCCCATTATTTTAACCAAAAACACTTTCTTTTTTTTTTATTCAAATTTTAATAATTTTATATTTAATGTTCTAAGTAACAAATTTTAGAAAGTATGGAAATTTATTAATTTGATAAAGAATTTACATGGACAATTTTCTAATACTGTTTTGATGTTTTCTAGAAGCAGATTGATAGGCCACACGTATTTGAAGTGTATTTGTACCATACTGACTTTATTGACCATACAAAAGCTGATTCAAAATTCTTATAAACCGTCTTATATTATCAAATCAAAAACCGGACTTAAACCAAAACTAGAGATATTATATTCAGACCAAAAAATCTCTAGGGGGAAATCATAACAAAAAAACCAAAAGAGCAAAAGAAATCATAACAAAAAAGCTTTGAAAATGTTTCAAAAGATTGATGATACTGTAACAAAAGGGGAAAACCAAACATTATAAAACTGGGACTGATTGGAAAACAAGTTTATAAAAATTAGTAAATACATATGTGATATTAAAATCTAAAATGCATTACTTAGTGTAACAATTCTGGTACTCCAAGAAACTATATATATACTTTGTGGGATTTGAACCAAAGTCAGGAAAATAACTAAGGAGAAGTGGTGAATCAAATTCTGAACAATGATCCTCATCCATTTCTATGTATCTGTCCTCTACAACAATGTGTAAAATGTTGTTTGAGACTTGCAACACATTACAACTTTGTTACCTTTGCAGATGGAACAACATTATATTGTTGTTGTTGTTTCCATGGAGATCGAGTTTCACTAGATGAATCCTATAATCAAACAACATTATAACCAGAGATTGAATTGGTGCATTATGAGAGTGCTTAGAAAATTTCTCATCTTTGACTAGAGCCTTCAATCTTTTTGATGTTGATCGGAATCGTGCCAGAGATGTCGCCAGAAGCCTCGAGAATATCTCTTCCACCAATTCCTCCGGAAGATTTACTCTGTTTCTCTTCTTCCATCATCTTTCATCTTTTGGATGAAAATTTTGTGTTGTTGTGATAAAAAAAAACACAATCTTGCAAACCATTTTTTTTTCTTTGGTCACAAATCTTGCAAACCATTTTTGTAAGATTATTACAATTATAAAGTATGAATATATTGAACAAAAAACTAATGATAAAAAAAGACGTGATGATCTTCTTAATTATTTTATTGGAATATTACGATCTATCTATACTTATAAATGAGAAGTCACTTTTCCTATATGGCGGCCTCACATCGAGTTTAAGATTTGGTTTGCCGAAAATACCCTAAAATCTCTACTTAATTACGCTGGAATGCCATCGATTTTTTCTTTAATTAAAAACAAAAACGAATTTATATTTATATAGGCATTATATATTTATTACGGAATATATATTCAAGATTTAGTGGTAATCTTCCATTATAATTATCTTCATGTCAAACGTACATAACTACATATTGCTATATGTTCAATTGATTGTTTTAGAATTTTTTATATTCTAGATATACAACAATCGAATATATCGTTTGTCAACCCTAAATAAACTTTATATATATACTTTCCTCTCTCATGTCACCTAAACAAATTATTAGTTTTCTGTAGTTTTTTGTTCCATTGTATGTTTCTCTT